CCCCAAAACCCCAAAACCCCAAAACCCCAAAACCCCAAAGGATTAGTAAGTAAAAATAGTAAAATAATGTTAGAGATTAAAAATTATTTGCAAAATGAAAAATGTAAATTCGAGTAAGGGCTCAACAGTATTCTCCCCTGGCACTAAATCTTCAAGGCAAACTTCCAAATCAACCTCTCATGCTAACTCTGTGAAGGAAACTCCAACAAATCATGTATCTTCTACAAAACACCCCTAAAACTCTGTTTCTAATAATCTTGGTACTCAGAAGTAGTAATAGGTGATTAATTCCAGTAGCAATTTCTCAAACTCTATTATCTCGAATATAGGCAATCAGAGTAGTCGCTCCAATTAAATGTACCAGCCAATACTAAGATCTAAAGAAGGATCAGTAGATAATAAAATCTAGACAAACCTTAGCAAGAAATAAGGAAGTTTAGTAAGAGATACCAAAGTGGATAAAAGAGCACCCGTAGCAGGAGGGAAAATAAGTTCTAATAATAAGCCAATGAACGAATCTACTTTTAACTACGAAGAAGTTTAGAATTAAAGATCTAGAGGCAACACTCCTAACTAGACGAATAGAAGACTTCATGAAGAATTCGTAGTCAATAACATTATTCATGATGAGCAAATAATTGAAGTCAAATAAGACTAAGATACTTAAGAGTCCGATCATGAGGAAGCTGAAAGAAGAATAAGACCCTCAGATGAGGTCTAATACTCCTCTCACCAATCGTAGAATACCCATGACAACAGAGGGAGCCTGTAATAGCATTTATACATGAATGAAAATCATGCTAACTCGGATTTCCCAAATGGGACAAAGTCATTTCAGGTTATGCAAGAAGCTTAGAAAAGCAGTGGCGGGCATGTTAACGATTACATGGTAATAGATGATTACAACAGTCATCAGCAGTTTGAGATCATCAAAGAGGAAGTTAAAGATGATGTCAGTCATATATATGAAACGAGAGACAGATAGAATTCTGACCTAAAGAGATTTGTCAATGACGAAGATTGCTAGGACAAGCCAGCATTGAGAATTAATTAGCAAAAGGCTAACTTCAACCCTAACTCCTTCAGTCCTTCAATAAAGTTTGATGAGGATATCACTTATGAGAAAGATCAGAACCTTCGATATCAAAACCACTTTAACGATATTAACTCTGATCACACTAGAAATCAAAGAGATCATTTCAATATTTTGGATGAGTCCTCCTTGAAAGGATCTAACTTCTTTATTTCAACCTAAAATATTGCACCAGAAATGGGTAGCCCTGAGAGCTTCGGATCTCCTGTGAAGCAAGTAGATTAAGACCGAAATGTTCAGATGCTTCAGCAGAGAAAGGAATAAGTGATACAGCAAGCACACATACTTAGTTTTTCAGACTAGAATCAGAATCATCATATAGAATACCCTCCTTTGCAACAGAGAGAATCAATTGAATTAATAAATAGCAATCATCAAAGCAGAGTAGTTGCCCAGAATGACATCGATGGAAATATGCTTATGAATAGCATGAGTTTAGGCAACCTAGCTAATTATAGTTAGAGCTAGGTTAATTAAAACAATAACTTGAATAACAATAACTACAACAACCAGATTAATATGAATCTAAATAGTGCCGCTAATATCAATAATATTGAGAGGTCTATTTCTCCTACTATGTCTATGTAGCAGAGAAGACTAAATGAAATACTTAAGTCATCTTAATCTGATACTCATTCATTGAATACTTCAGTTCAATAGGATAGAATAGATGATAAGCAGTTGAGTGGTATGCTTGATCTGGAGAAGAACTATGTGATTATGCAATATGAGAATATCCTTTAATAGCTGAATTTTGAGTTTCAAAAATTACTGTAAAAGGCTAAAGAGTCAGAGGAGGCCCTATAATAAAAGGATTCTGTGATCAAGACCTAATCTAGAATTCTATCTGAGAAAGATGATCAGTAGTTCTAGTTGGAATAGATCAACAGATAGCTAAACAGCCAAGTTTAAGACCTGCTTCAAGAGCTAGACATTATGACTTAGAGCCAGCAGCAATTGGCAGTGCAACTCACTAATAGTCAAGCTGATTAGCCACCTAGTGAAAGCTGGAGACTAGACAAGGAATTCTTAGAGCAGAGAATATAGACTCTGTAGGGCAAAGTTAACTTTGCTGATCAAACTGAGCGAGACTTAAGAGATTAGATTGAGATGTGTCAGGCTAAACTGAGGGCATCTGAGTCAAAACTTAGAGGTAAAGAGGAAGAGATGTTCAGTATACTCAGAGAAAATAATACCCTGCAGAGAGATATTTAGAACTTGAAGGAGATTGAATACCAAATAAAATAGGAAATTCAGGTCAGTAATAGCTAGAGATTGATGACAGAGAATGAGGTGTAGGAGTTGAAGCAGTAATTCACTAATTTGTAAATACAGCAGAGAGTCAGAGACTAGGAATTAGATCATTTGATTAGAGAAAATAGAAATCTGAGAGGTACTATTGAATTGCAGTAGCATAGCTACAATGAGGTAATGATGGAACTAGGCTCTACAAAATAAGTTGTTTCAGATATGGAGAGGACTAAACTTCAAATGCAAAATCATATTGAGAAGTAAGACCGAGAAGGTCAGAGTCTTAAATAAGAAGTCAAAAGGTCTCAATTTGCAATTGAACAAGAAAAGAGCAAAGTTGAGGGAATTGAGGAGCATTACAAGCAAGAGATTCAAAAGCTTATCCAATAAAGCCTTAATCAAAAGAAATGGGATCAACAGTAGTGGGAAAAGTAGTAGAAGCAGAGTTTGTATGAGCAAGAGTAACAGTAAAAGTCACTATAACAGCAATCTAAGAATTTCCAAGATAAACAACTTATTAATATGGGTGAGGACTTTAACTACAGGACATAGTAGAATTTAAACAACACAATTACCTTTAAAGACTAAAATGAATTCATTAAAAGTCAATAACCATTGCAGGATAATCGAAGTACTTATTACAGCCCTCAAAGAAATTAGAGAGGGTAACCATAGTAAAAAATAGAAACTTAATATTCTCCAAGAGAAAATAACGAGACTTCTAAGCAAGCTAAAAATAATACAGCATGGCCCTATCTATTTGGAGGTCAATAAAGCAATCAAAATCAGCCACAGTAGCAGACTAAGCATTAGCAGTACTAGGATAAGGTGCCAAACTATCCACCTCCAAAGCAACCTTACATTGAGAAGACTTTGATAAATTTGCAGAATCAGCAAAAGAATAACTTGAACGATAATTTAAGTCTTACAAGAAGACCTAATGTGCCAAACAAAAATGAATCTCAACTACATTCAGTATTCTAATGGGAAAATGACTAGAACTCAAGGAATGTATTATCAGTAGGATCTAGATCACTTGAGAAGAGTGATAACTCATTGATGGCTAACTCACAGTCAAATAAGAATTTCTACAACTAGAATGAGCAGCAACAGCCTTAAAATAATAGAAATCAAGGAAATCATCAGAGTTCTCTAAGTGCGAACTTTGACTAATAAAACATTAATCAATATAAATCTAATACTGGTGGTGGTATTAATTTCAAACAGCTAAGATAACAGCTAGATTAAGATCTTTAACCAGCTGGCAAAAGATCTACTATTTAGATGATGCAAAGTCCGCTTAACGGAAGAAACTAGAATCATGAATAGTAAATATCACATCTTTAGAATTCGCTCAGTGCATTGCAGATGGATAAAGAAAGAGTAAGCATAATTTAAAAATATAGAACTTTTTATTAGGTGGAAAATGAATATCGTAAGATTGGTCACCCTAAAAATAAGTTACAAATTGGTAAGAAATAGGAACTGGAACTGGAAGTAGAAATTATTGACAAGAACATACAAAATCTGAGATAGAAGTTGCGAGAGATGCATGCTCTCTGATCAATGTTCTCAATTGATCAATGAAATGAGACATAATATACACTATCCTGAAATGTGCTTGTTTACTTAAAGATAAGAGTCATCTATATATTAATTTTAATAATTTTATATCGATTTATCAATTAATGAACGTTTAAGATAATATAAATTCGCAATCATCCTCCCCTCCAACTTTAGCAGGAGGGCTAAAACAACAAATATTCCAAAATAGTGAATACTATAAGAATGTTAGTAATGTAGGGATGAATATGCCTTGAAACCTTAATAATAAGTTACTTAATCTTCCTTAAGGTTAGAAATTGTCGTTGTTGCTTCATAACAATAGAAAGCACTAAGAATCATTCAGTATTAATGAGGCTGATGACTTTGAATTGCTGCATAATGTTTAGATATGGATAGATGAGAATCAAAATAGGTAGGCTCTGAATTAGTATAGTAATAAAAGTGCTTTTCAAAATGAAGGTCCATAACCATAGTGAAATATTTTTTTGCAAAGAGACAGCTTAAGACTAAGTGAAAACGGTAAACTATAATAAAGATAAAATTTCTTTGAACATGAGAACAATGACTACCTTGCTGAGATCAAACAAAAAAGTAATCCATTTATGAACAGAAAAGGAAGTATAAATATAGTTTAAAATATGGAGATGAGAGATTACAAGGAATCAAAGACTCACAGAAAGTCCCCCAAGAATTCTTAGAGAAACAACTATTTGGAGTAGATACCAAAATAGTAACTAGAGACTGACAAGGATTAGGCCCTGATAAAAAAATATAAGCAGATTCAAATATTAAATGAGAGCATTAACGATTCTACTCTCATCTAATAAGATGATATTCTGATTCCAGATCAAAGTAACCTATTCATAAACAGCAAACAGCATTTATCCAATCAAGGAATCATTAACAGATAAAAGACTTATAATCCCTCAGACATTAAAGGATTAAAGAAGAAAAACGGTCGCCCATTAAAACCTCTTCCTAAGCATTTATACATAATCAAAAGGTATGATGCCACTTAGATTCTATCATAACTAAATGAGAACAGTTCCTACAATCTAGATTACTAACCTGGAGATCTTAAGCTAATAGGCAATCAGTTTTCTTCAAAACCATCACCAATGCCTACTTAAGCTTATCAGAACATTAGCCCAAACGGACCGAGATTTAATAACAAATTTAATAGTAGTAAGCAAATTAATGATCATAAGGAACTCTTACATTTTTTGAAGCAAAAATATCAACAGCAGCATGATTTCATTATGAAACAAGAGTATCAACTGATGGAAAACAAGACAACTATAAAGTAAAAACATTTCGATATAAGAAACTTCGACAATTATCAATAAAATCAATAAATCCCAATGGATCAAAATATCCAAAGAAACTAGAAGAATTAGAGCTTGGACATTTCGATCAAATCAGATTTATCTAACTAGGAAAGAGACACAGTAATGGCACTTGAATAAAATAATTTGACTCAATTAAAATAAAGCGAAGCTAACAGACATCGGAAAATACTTTCCTCTGTGAATGCAAGGCAAAAGAATAGCAATACTCTTACTCCTTTGAAGAAATCAGAGAGATCAAGACTTCTATAATAAAACTTATAATCTATAAAAACCGAGTAAATCAACAGTGATGTAAAAGGTAGTACTGCTGATTAACTAGATAGAGTTAATAAAATGAGAAAATCAACGGCAATGAATCAGAGACTAAAGCCTAAGAAGAGTCAGAATACTCACTCGACTCATCTCCTCCTTTAATAGAAGAAAATTGAGGACAATGAGAAGATTGAGAAAATATTCAAACTTCAAAAATAGATTAGAGCTAAATATAATGACATCTCAGTAACCTAGAGGCAAATTTCAAAGGATGAGCCTTATAAGGTAAGAATTCTCACTATTAAGTACAATAGTATATAGTTATCAGAGGCAATAACTCAGAGCTAGTTAAAAAATGTCTTGATTAAAGAGGCTCAGACTGGCAAGAAATCAGTTCTAATAACACTATATTTCATTTCAAGTGGGTACCTTTCTCAAAAGGTATAAGGTTTGATTACCTTTCAAGTCATGGCTATAAAAAGATGGTGAATCACTTTGAATATTAAGAGCAAATTTCTTAAAAAGACTGGTTGATGATAAATCTGTCTAAGTATTGTGAATAGCAAAGACTCAATGTTTTCGATTTTATCCCAGTGACTTTCATTGTAAATTTGAATCACCAATCCTCATCTTTTGAAATGGAGAAATTTAATACTATGTTTACAGTATTAGAGAGAGCAAAGTAAGATTCAAAATATGAATCGGTAAACAACAGCATATTATCCCATCCACATTTTAGTAGTTTAAAGTATACGAATACTAACAAATATACAATAGCTAAAACTATGTATTAAGGTCACAATTTCTGGTTAATTAAACCCCCTGATTTTAATAGAGGTCGAGGAGTTTAGGTCTTCAATAATTTAGATTAACTTAAAAGAACTATTCAGGACTATTAATAAGGAGTGGAAATAAACCTTGGACAAGATAAGACTCAAAAGTCAGTCGAGTGCTAGCAAATAGAAAATAAATTTGCCCCTGTGCCATAAGAGTAATTACTCAAGAATTTTACTAATTTGGAAAACGTTCCAAACATAGTCAAAACTAATTAGTTTGTAATCTAGAAATACTTAGAGAAACCTTTGTTGATTAATAGAAGGAAGTTTGATATTAGACTTTGGGTATTGATAGCTTAAGATCACAAATGCTATTTATTCAGTGAAGGTTATATCAGAACCTCATCATTTGAATTTGAATTAACTCCTTAATCCATTGAGAAGCCTCATATTCATTTGACTAATAATGCAGTTCAAAAATACAATGAGTATTATGGAAACTTTGAAGAGGGTAATTAGCTCTCATTCAAGTAAGCAGCTGAGATGCTGAAAACTGATGGTATTAGATGCAATTTCTATGATATAATAAGGGATGAGATTACTAAGATCATAGTCATTTCTTTAAGGTCTGTCGAGAAGCACATTAATTCCTCAAATTGAAAGTTTTGCATGGAAGTATTTGGTTATGATTTTATACTTGATGAAAATCAAAGACCTTGGCTCATTGAAGTTAATACGAATCCTTGCCTAGAGGAATCGAGTGGCTTACTTCGTAAGTTGATTCCAAGAATGATTGATGACAGTCTAAAACTTACTGTTGATGTTATCTTTCCTCCTAAAAAGTAAAAATAATCTTAGAAAGTTTAAATTGAGGTTAAGGAAGAATCATTATTAGAAGAAACTGATATTAGTATCTAGCTAGGATCCTAGCCCGGAATCGGATCTGCAGGACCAACACATATTCATAGTAATGATCAGGTTCCAACAATCAAAGTTGAAAGTCCTAAGCCTCGAGCATTTTCTCAGACCTAAAAAGTATTCAACAATGGTCAAAGTTAATCAAATAACTCTCATTAAAACACCAATTAGCCTCATTAACTTTCAAGTAATTAACAATCTTCTTAATCAAAAACTAACTTCCCTGTCGAGGGATACTCTGATTTTGATAATATGTGGAACTTCATCTACTAATTAAAACAGTGAAGCCAGAACATCGACTAGAGTATCTATAAAAATGGTTAATGAAAGCAAAATATATAATACAGCACAAGTGATATGCCATATATATGAAGTGAATTATTAAGGATTATGAATTTTATTTAAATGTTAACAAAACAAACTTTAAAGAGAGAAAGAAAGAGTGACAAACACTTTCCTTCAGGACGGTCAATTTATATTATGACTATCCAGATCATGATATATATCTCCCTCAAAGGCAAATATTTTCTACAAGCTTAAATGGATCTTCTCTGATATAAAATTCAATTGCTTGAAGGAGGTCTCTCTTTAACATTTCCTTGGAATAGATCAATTGTTCATCTTCAGTATCATAGTCATACTCCACTTCCAGTCTAGACATGTCGTAATCAGTGATTATAGCACATTTCTTAAATCCTTCAATTTGATTTTCTTAGTAAAGTGAAAATTCTAGAGTCTATCCTGTCTTCTTATCAGTTAGTTTCAAATTCTTAGCAACAAACTTGGCAACTGTTGATTATAATCTTGTGAAGTATTCCATCACCTCTATAATTCATTGTCAATCTCACAAATATATAAATGGAAATATAATAATATGCTTTATTTAAAGTTGATGATTATTAAGAGTTCAAGTAATTAAACTTACCAGTTTTGGTTTGTGCTTATCTCTTTTGTCCGAGCAACTTTTTTTGACTTGAATTATTCTTCTTATCAGATCTCTGCTATTTAGCAGCTCTGGAACACTGAGACATATCATTCTTGTAGGTGGAAAGTTCATTGGGGGCATAAGTACAAGCTGTTGTTGCTGAAGAGGGTTTTGATTAATTTTGCCTCTCTAATTGCATGAAAAATTTGGACGATGGTGACTGCTCAGCTGCAGGTTTCACAAGTCCGTGCTGGACTAAGTAACCTGGTGATTATTTAAGCAATGATTTGATTCTAGTCACCGATCTGTAAGGAGTTCCTTACTCTTTGGCGCCACTTTATTAATTGCTATAACTCTCAGGAGTTTCCAATTTCTTTTGTAGTTCATCCCTATTTGGCAAGGCATCTAGGTGCCCTTTGACTTGAGGGAATTAAATCTAAGTCTATCTTGTCGGCTTGGTGATTTGTCTTCTTTTCATAGTTCTTATTATATCGAAAATATTCACTCTGGGTATTTCGATTTGATTTATTAGTAGATTTAATTATTATTGATAATATAAGAGAAGCTTTATTCCCTCCTTAAGTTTTAAATTGTTTCAGTTAAAATTCCTGTAATAATATTGGCAATCTCGTTCTAATAGGAGAAAAGAGCAGCATTTATCTGCTTTAAAATAAATTCTCACCCTTATATCTCAATATTTGATAAAAATGTGAGTCTCTAAAGGGTGCTTATATTCTAATTCTTTACAAGCATTAATGCTTTATTTAGAATTCTCGTTTCCTCGTTAATTTAAGTTAAGCATTAATAAGTTTCTTGAGAATTTTGAATTCTATTGAAGTTATTTTGTTTGAACTGTGTTTAGTCTTGTTTAAACTCTAATTATTAAAATTTTAATTATATTAAGAACATTATGAAGTCAGCTTCATCGATAGTAGTTTACCTCGGCCTGACCTCGTTTATATATTCTATTGCTATCTCTGTACCTTCGTATATTATCATAATAGGTTATTATAGTGGACTTAACCAGTTGGTTTTTACTTGATGAACAATCTATGAAATCAAAATTAAGACATCAGTATGGGAGACACTTAAGAAAATTCTTCCCCATTTGAGAATCCCATAAAATACGAATCCTGTAAGCATTTGCATTATTTTAATAGCAACATAGTATTACTAAATGCATGCTTCTTTATTGGAAGGATCTTGACATTTAAGTTTTGGCTTAATAAAGCTGGTTAATAACACAATAAAAAGAGACTATTAATAATCCTTCCATTGACTTCCATCATAGCTCATTTAGCTGTGCTAGTAAGAGGAGATAAGTTCTATGTTTAGTGTTTATCAAGAGTACTTCTTGGTTTATTCTTTCCTTTAGACCTATTAGTGAGAATACTATCATTAGATTTTTCTTAATAAAGAATTAACAATATGCATTTCCATGTAATCAATATGATTCTTCTAATCGGCTAAGCTTTTATTTTACTTCTCAATAATGATGAATTTTATGAGGTTAAAATACAATAAATAGGCATCTATCTTACTTCTAGTTAAACAGTAGTAATACTACTAGCATTGATCTATATAATTTTCACTCTTATTATGGTTAAGGACGACTTGTTTTAATCCAATAGCTTTAGTTATCAAGAATTTTAGGGTAACTAAAATCTAAAAGAAAGTTAACAAATCAATGTATTAAGTGGAGGAAGTGCAATAGGTCGGAAAAGATCTTAATCTTAGGAGTAGAAATAAAACTAAAAGTAGGCAAGAGCAAATAATTAGTAGCAGGATTCTGAAATGAACTTTGATAATTAGAGCTTATAGCTATTCGACTCAGCATCTTAGGCAGAAGAGACTGATAGAAATACAGAGGGATTTGATTCAAAGTAAGGTACCTAGAAGAAAAATAGCTTGATTGAAGGCAGATAAAAGAAGATGAACTTGAATCTTGAGGATATTGAGAATATATCAGATCTTGATCTAGAGTCAGTTAAGAATTCTGACAGAGCTATTACTTTCAACTAATTTGAGTTGACAAAGAATATCATGATGAATGGAATAGGAATAAATGAAGATAGCAAAGTTGACCTAAATTAAACTAATGGTGAGCTTGATAATTCAAATAAATAGGATAAGATCAACAGTAGTTAAATAGAGCTTATAACCTCAATCACTGATAATCAAATGAATTCAGCAAGTTCTTCAGACAGAAGAATCAGGAACCTTAACATGACTCTTGACAACCCAAGAAATAATAGTCTCGGATAAATTACAGATAAAACTAATAGAAGAAGTTTATTTGAGAGGACAAGATAGAACAGTGTATAATTAAATTCAATGGAAGTTAAAAAATTAACTGCTAATCCGTATGCAAAATTAGATGAAGATCAGCCAAACTAAACTACATAGGGACCTTAGGAGCATAATTTAAGTCCAAGTAAATAAGATCTTAATAAGGGATAATCATAAGAAAACAGCCAAAATTAAATATCTCTATAGAATGAAGGAGTAAGGAGTGTTAAGAATATATTGGGCCAAGAGTTTGTTAAGAGATGGATATCAATAACTATATTGGTTGCAATGATACATTAAAGCATAGATGATAAATTATAAATTCAACTCTAGCGCCCTAATATTTATGGTTTAAACTTAAAAGAGGCTAGCCATAGTCTGTCTAAGTATTGCTTGATACCAATAATGCTTTATCTACCTACAACAGTACTTATTTTGAGGAAACTTGAGAAAATCAAATACATTAGATTGATGATCGCTTTAATTAGCTTGACTGTTGTTTCAGAAATTATCATGATCTAGTACAATACTAACAAGAATAGTGATGTAGCTCTGACATTAGTCTTGAGTGGACTGGAAAAAACTTTTGCATATTCTGCATTAGTAGTGCTTTTCGTCCTAGGTCTCAGGCTAGTAAAGATTGAACAGAGATATTTTTAAGTGTCAATTTTCTATCTCTGCCAAAATTTTGGTTTTCTTCTTGGGTCTTTGATGGGATAGACTCTCTAAATTTCAATTGCAAAGAGTATGTTCCCTCAAAATGTATTAGGCATAATATAAGTAATACTCACTGTTATTGCTCTGCTCTTTACAATATTTATGGGAGGATCTAATGAAAATGTTTATAGAAGTTCTTCTTCCTCGGATGTTTTAAGTGGGCCTTAAAGACTAGAACAAATATAGAAATAGCTTGAAAATCAAGAGAAGACTATACTTGATCCAGCAGTTAACTTGTAATATGTCGATAGCAAAAAGAAGAAAAACAAAAAGTAAAATTAAAAATAGAAGAAATCAAAGCTACAAGAGATTCACGTTACAAATCCCTAGCAGCCTTCTGAAGTAATAGATAAACTTGAGGAGGAAGATGACATTGATAGAAGTTCTACAGTAAATTAGAGCTAGCAGTAGTAGTTACAATAGCAGTTTCAGCGTAGAGTCCTGTGAGCATTATATATAAACCTCTTAAATTGGTATATTCACACACATATAACTTGTAGAGATTTCTCTTTCTTTTCTCTTATGATTTTGATGAATAATTATATTTATTCTTAATTAACTATAAGTTTATTTTACCTGAAATGAAAGCAAGTATACTGAACTTTGATCACTAAGATGAAGATAGTGATGGAGATATAATGACTCCTCAGAGTAAAAAGCCAGTGCTTGATGAGAAGGATCTTAAGCACATTCTTAAACTCAAGCCTTAAGATAGATCTTTGGATTAGATACAAATCATTAAAACACATGTTAAAGATATAAAGGTATTCAAGGAATTCAACCAGTAAAGTAATGAGGAGTAGCTAAATGAACTCTGTAGAAATCTATAACTCCAGTTTCTACCAGAAAATAAGATCTTGTTTGAATAGGGTGACCGTGGTGACTCTTATTTTATTATTCTTGATGGCAGTGTTGACATTTCGATTAAAGTTGTGGATGATAAGAATGGAGTAGAATATAATAAAAAAGTAGCAGTTCTAAAAAAAGGAGATGCTTTTGGTGATCTCTCACTTTTATATGGAGCACCTAGAAATGCTTCTTGCTAAACTAGAGAAGACTCTTACTTCATAGTAATGAATAAGAGTATATATGACAAGGTGATAAAATCGCATCAGGTTGAAAAAATTCATGAGATTGCATAGTTCTATCTTAACTTCCCTTTGTTCCAAAATCTGGACAAAATAACACTGATGTACTTTGCTACTAAAACAATTCCTCAAAAGTTATAGTCAAAATAAGTGGTTGTTAAACAAGGAGATGACCCAGGAAGAGTGTATTTTGTAAAGAGTGGTAGATTGAAAATTATAAAGAAGGTCAACTTTAGAATCATACCTGAAAACGGTTATCTTCAGTTTGATGAGCTTATTGAGGATCCTATTATCACTGAAATAAGACATGGCTAAGTAGAAAACAAGCTACTTTAATTAGATATATTGGAATAAGGTGATGTGTTTTGCCATAACTCTGTGATCTAGCATTAAATAATAGAATACACTGTTATTACTGAAGTCCCGTGTGAGGTTTATATCATTAATGAAATGGACTTTTTGACTCTTAACAAATACACTTTGGATTAATTTTAAGAGTATATCAAGCCTTATCCAACTGATAAAGATCTAAGAAAGATGCATTATGAATCCATAAGATGGAAAAATTACAAGAATAATATAATGGAAATTATCAAACTCAATAAAGCTCGTAAAAGTTCCTTCAGTTCTCTATTAAGAGGAAGTCAAGCCCCAATGCCAAAAATGCTTGATCAAGATTATCTAAATATGAATGACAAAACTCTAGTCTATCATAAGAACTTTAAGATCCATAAGGAAAATACCAATAATAACAGTTAAGTCTTAGGTAATACTTAGCAAACGCCCTCAATTTAGCCACATAATTTCAAAGAGTAACTATCGCTTTAACCTATTTCGGAGAAAATTTTCGAGGTCAATAATGAAAGCAATTTGTTCAGTGTTAAGCAGCAAAATAAAGCTCTATTCAAAATTAAAGATGACTCTCTCAAGTCATAATTAAAACTTTAACCAATCAAAGTCAACAATAACTCCTCTTTGTATTCATCTGGACTTAATACTCAAAGGGACAAATCTATAAAGCTGTTTGGAAGCTATAAGAAGCCAGATCCGGTATTTGAGGTGGAATAAAAGAAAAATCAAACTATTTATAAGTTTGAGAGCAAAGATCAATAGTATCAAATAATTCATAACACCAGGAATATCTTTTCTAATGGGGCTCTACCACCCTTAACACTTAGAGTTGTAAGAAAATCATAAAGCACAGCAAGATTATGATTAAAGTATTATCAACTTCTCTAAGAACATCTATTGATAGGTATTTGATTAGGGTTAAAAATTCTAAGTTTGATTGTTCAACTTTATAAATATATTTGTTAAATTATAATTTAAAATAATTCAAAGATTAACTATAATATGAGAGACTGCTAAAATACCTCACTTTTTTACAGTTTATAAAATCAGCCTTGCCATGATGATAACTATCATTAAGCCACACAAAATTCAAAGAAGAGGAAATTCAATGAGATCATAGACTTTGAATCTCATGAGTAGTCTAACTAAATCAAAAGGATGAAGCCAAACTAAGAAGTTTGCGGCTTTGCCTATAATGAATGCCTTAATGAATTGTCAACTGAAGAATAATACTCAGTGATTAATGACCATCAAGAATACATCCAGGATTAAATTGAATCAGTAGAAGGAATGTGTGATTATGATGAATTCAGCAGTAGCCATAAGTTGGAGATCGATTCTTACCACTAGATCATGCCTTTCTCAGCCTACAAGGATAAGATAAACTCCATTCACAAGGTTGACCTTTCAGATTCAGGACTTATTTTTGTAACTAGAGATACTCAATATTTTCAAAATACTGTGCCTCTTGAAAAATAATACCTCAAGAGAGAGTCTTACATTGCTTAGCATTTACATCCATTTTGTCACTAGTAAATCTAAAATAAATCTTAAAGAAGTTCAGAAAGAAAGTAAAGAATACTAAAAGACTCAAGAAAGAACAGCAATAAAGATTAGGAACTAGTGTAAAAATAAGTTCTTAATTCAAAGTTTTCCAATACTCTCAATAACGGATTTCCATCATAACAGCAACGTGAAGTCCACTAATATGGATTTCATTAAGATAGCCAGCTCATGGAATCAATTTACTAAAGAGGAGTAATGAGTTGTATTTACATGAGATGAATTAAACATTTTCTTCAACACCTGAAGAGGCACTTTTCCTGATATTAAAAAGATGAAAATCAAATTTTCTTGAGAAAATTGTTCATTAATGTTGCTTATTTTAATTAATTTATAGATTATAATCAAAATTATACACTTATTCCAATCTAAATCAACTCATTCAATAGTAATCAGTATATTCATAAAAATTAATCAAAACTATGGGTACAGTCTTTGAAAGTAGTCTGCAGAATTTCCAATGCCTAGATTTAGATTGGTTTAAACTGGGGGATTTAGCCCTGGATTTATTCTATTTACAATGGTAGGCTAATTATAGATTTAGCCTTTAATCTGATAGTTTTAGCTCTGATATTGATCTTGTCCATAGCTATCATAGTTTCCCCCATGATCATTACTTTAATAAGCATTAGGCATTATTCTTATAGGCTATTAAACCATTTTTCTGAGTCTATTTTACTCCTTTTCTCTTTGTGATGCCATATTGAATCTATCCTAGTTTATGCCTAATTATGGTTTATTCAGATATTATAAGTATCTATCAGAGTTGGTGGGCTATATCTAATTTGGAGGTGTGATTCCAGATTTATTCAATATTTAATCTTAAGTTTAAGGTTGTAATCTAAGATAATTATGATGATTGTTTCTTTGTCGAATTTAAGAAGTACTATTGTCATTAAAAATTTAAGGAAAAAGAGAAGAATTTTGCTAACGATCCTAACTCGTTTCCTAACTATTATTATCTCTTAAAATTCTGCTCTATGGATGAATTTTATGATGAACAACACTGTGAGATCTATTCCCAAAGCTAGTAACTCCATCTCCTCCACCTTATTTTAAGCCAGAGATTAAGGTAATTGGCTAATTACTTAGTACATTTTTTAATAATTTCTCATACTTTGAAGGCTATTCCATTGTTTCTTTGTCATAAACACCATCTTACATAACTATTCTCTTTGTTTGAGTGTCAAATACTTTTGATACTAAAATTTCTTCTTTATAAGGGTTTTTATTTCCCTCAACCATCTCAGAATTATTTAAATTTGCCTTTTATCTTTTTCGTCTCAAAGGTCTATCCTCTACATTTGGTAATTAGTCTCTATTCTCTAGAATATACAGTTGCTTATCTATCTTTTTAGTTGTATCTATAATCATATCTAGAATTTCCTTTCTATTTTTCTCCTTTTCCTCTTTGCTCTAAGATTAAATTTTTGAGACATTGCTCTTTGGAAATTACAAAGTTTATTGATCATCTGAATCATAATCTTCTTCTGATTCATTTTTTTCAGTTTTAAAGTTCACCTATTTTTTAGAAATTATTTCTGATTTATTCAAGTTATCATTTGTATGAATCTTATTAGGACCTCTTTAAATACTGAGAAATCTTTTACTTCTTTCTCCCTAATTATTTTATCTGTCAGTATCCACTTAAATAGTGTGATGCTTTTTATTTGGCTCAGGTAATTTAAAATCATGATCATTTTTACTATCATAAGTAGCCGATGGTAACTATCCTGTAAGATAAAGTAAATTTCTTGGCATTCTAATTGTTTTAAGTAAGATGTTATCGTATTAATTCTGAGGGACAGATTCTGGAAACATCCTAATTACTCTTTGGTGTACAATAGGCATTTCTAGAATTTTATCACAATTTGGTCTTAAATGAGGCTAAACTTATAGTAGACTTCGAATTAATTTACTCATATCATTCGAAAATTAGGCTGGTATTCTAGGATACTTTCCTGCAAGAATCTTTTTGAATAGCCCTTCCATAGTCTCAGACCTGAAAGGTGGTTTTAGAGCAATAAGCTCATACATTACACACCCTAAACTCCAAATGTCACTCTTATGATCATATGGCATATCCCTCCAGACCTCGGGACTGGCATAATATGGCGTTCCTGTTTATGTATATAGTAAACCTTTTTTAGCCTCCTTAGACACATTTAAATCCCCAAGTTTGGCTAATTATTTTTCTTCTGATAGAAATATATTAGCAGACTTAATATCTCTATGCAAGATCTTTAGACTATGAAGTGCTTTAAGTCCTCTAGTCATTTGAATGAATATTTTCCATACCCAATCTTCATCAGGGAAGCATGTATTTTTTTGACAATGCACGATTTCAGCATAGAGATCACCATTTTATGCAAACTCCATGACAAGACTATAAAATTAAAAAACTTACAAAGATTACCATAGAGTACTAGTGGCATCTTCTATAAAAGCTTCTTTATATGACACAATATTGGGATGTTTAATAGAAGCTAAGATTCTAATCTCATTCAAAGCATTAATCTTTTCTTTTTCTGATAATTCTTGCATTTTGACTTTCTTAAGTGCATAGATCTCTCCATCTGAGATTCTTTTAACTTGAAAAACAGAAGAGTAAGAACCCTCACCTAAATTGAGAATCAAATAATTGCTTGAAGATCTTATTTAGATAAGGATTACTTACCTAGTTTTTTGATGATTTTAAACTCTTTAAGTGACATTAGTAAAATTAGATAATAATAAAATATCGTATAAACATAATGATTTAATCATTTCTTAAATAATATTAAGGATAAATTATGGACAAGGACCTAGCTTTGAACTAAGGGACGGACTAATCCAGCTTCTGCAAAATGACCTCTGTCAAAAGTTCATTGGAAGTTCTTAAAACGTTTCAAAATTGTAATTTTAACTAAACTGATTTTTAATATAGTGTCCTAGACAAAAGTTTGTGATTACATAAATAAAAAACTAAAATCTATCGATCAAGCTATCTCGGTGCCTAATTACAACTTCAACAACTTTTCATAAAATTCTGAAGAGGTGAGGGATCTAAAAGGAAGTGGCTAAAGTAATGTCAAGCTGAGGTAGAACGTAGCTAAAACAATCTTAGTGACAAAGCGACTTCAGAATCATTTCTCAGATTAGTCTCGGTAAACTTTTAGGATAGCCTAATTATTTTAGAGAAATTTCAAGATTAATTTAAAAGATTTAAAAAGTAAGGGCAGAACCCACTCCTCCTATTAAAATTGTTGAATAATCTGCTCCCAGATTTGAAAAGAAAAACCCCACCATTCGAAAAAGAGAGTTTAAGAAACGAGAAAGATCAGCAGGAGAAGGCGCTAAAAGGAAAATAAATCTTAAAAAATAGCACATGCAATGTAGGAAAGAAACCACTCTTAGGACAATCAATCTGGAAGAGAATATTTCACTAAAATCTGAGTTTAGTTGTTATAGCACTGGTACTTCCAAGAAAACTGTTGAACACTAATCTATGACAAGAATGCAAACTAATGACCTCTAAAATTCTAGTAACTCTAACTTTAAAGAACAGCTCGAGCTCGATATAAATGATGGCGATAAACTGGATGAAATTTTATTGATGGAGGATGACACTTACTAAGATATTTTTACTTAGTAGAAAAATATATTGAACATTGTTGAGTGTGATTATGAAATGGAGGAACCACTTGAGAATCATTTTAATCTCGAAGTTCCTGGTTATGAAAGGGGTTTACAGTAAATTGGACGAGGGTTTCCCCTAGCAATTAAAAATCTCAAGTAAGAATAAAATCTGTCACAGTATCATGCAAAATAAAGGAGTTCCATGTTATGAAATTTGCTCTATACATCGAGCCTAGGTCACGTCTATAAAAGAATATTTTAGTATTTATATAAATTATATATTTCTCCCCATTATTATACATTTTCTGAATCTGGTAACCTACTATCATACTATATATACGGGGTTTTGGGGTTTTGGGGTTTTGGGG